GGCCGTAGGGGCGTGACGAGGCCGTTGGGATGCGACGGGCCGTAGGGGCGCGACGGGGCCGTAGGGGCGCGACGAGGCCGGCTAGGGGCGCGACGGGGCCGGCTAGGGGCGCGAGGGGCCGTAGGGGTGTGCGAGGCCTGCTAGGGGCATGACGGGGCTGTAGGGACGCGCGGGACCAGCTAGGGGCACAAGAGGCCGGTAGGGGCGCGACGGGGCTGGCTAGGTCTAGCGAGGGACGGTAGGTGGCGGCATGGGGCGGAAGCGGGTGGGTGGACCTACCTACTAAAGATACCATGTTAAGAATAGAAGGAATATTGAGAACAAGGGAGAACAGGGGAGATGTGGCGTTTGGGTTGTACCCACTAAGAACATACCATATCTAGCCTATAACTTCTACATAACAATATATGTATAAGTTCACACAAAATGGGCTCGGGGAGGAAAATAAGGCGGGGGGAATCAAACGCATGGGAGCCGAGTGACAACTTTTGAGGTTTGCAGTGCACAATTCTGGTTCAAGATTTTGCACGGCTTTTGGAGAGCTCTCACCTAGCCAGCACCGCCTCATCGAGTAACCTAGCCCTTCAACCTATATACAATTGAACCTCGCTGGCTACCGCTACTTTAGATGAATCAGCCTTCTTCATGCCAGCACTGATTCACTGCTTTGCTTAGAGATTTGTTCCAACCTTACTTTCCAAGCCCGTTATGCCATACCTGTTGACACAGAGAATACAACACATAGCACAAAACTCTTATGTACCGTCTATTCTACTCATTCTGTTACTCTGATATGGTATAAGCTGGGTTAGGTCCGCCCACCGACTTCCGCCCTAGCCGACCTAACCCGCCCTAGCCACTCAAGCTCGCCCTAACCCTCCCTAGCCCCGGGAGCTCGCCCTAGCCGCAGTAACTCGCTGGCCCCGCGCTCGTCGACCCCTCGCTCGCCGGTCCCTAGCTCGCCCGCCCCACGCTCGCCCGCCCCGCGCTCGCTGGCCCACTCGCTCGTCGGCCCCGCGCTCGTTAGCCCCGCGCTCGCCGACCTTGCGCTCGACGGTGTTCAAGGAAAAGAATGTATAGAACAAGGGATAAAAGGGAATATAACCTAATGGGCTGTACTCCCTAAGGCACAAACCTATATAGTCTACAGAAACATACCATATATGTTTGACACGCCCCCTAGACTGGATAGGGGCAGTCCCCGATGAGAGAAAAACAGCTCAGGGTGGCACTACTAGTCCAGCCTCTAAGATAGGGGTCTACAAACCAGTCAAACAAGTACACACAAGGCAAGAGCAAGACCAGGGTGGCACTACTAGTCCAGCCACTAGGAAGAGGCCACAAGGCCAGTCAGGGTAATATGTATTAAGGTATGTACACAATCAAGGTCCTAGCAAGTGAGAGGCTACAGGAATGAGACCTAGTTGTACACAGTGCCGCTGATGATCTTTAGGCACAAGCGCCTTAGAAAAGATGTCAACTGTGTTGGCACCAGAGGCCAAGTGTACTACACGAGCCTGGCGACGCTGCTGCAGCTCGCACAGGAGGAAGTACCGCAGCTGGATGTTCTTCGCTCTGCCCTCGAGTCGTGGCTCCTGACACAGGAGGATCATGGCACTGTTGTTAGCATACAGAACCGGGGCAGAGCTAGGCCGCTCACCCAAGTCGGTGAGCAAGAAGGTCAGCCAGCGGAGCTACTGTGCTGCAATGGCACCTGCGTAGATCTCGGCCTCACAGCTAGACTGGGCAACAGACGAGGAACGGGTGGACCTCCACGAGATGGCACCTGCACCAAGGCTAAAGGAGTAGCCCTGTGAGGACGTGAGAGTCTCGGCATCATCTACCCAAGAAGCGTCTGTGTGCCCGGAAAGGACCACTGGTCTCCGTCCTCCTAGCACTAGCCTCATGCCCAATGTACTTGCTAGATAACGCAAAACCCTCTTAGCTGCCGACAAGTGCTGTGGTTGGTGTCTGCCTGGGGCCACAAAGCGAGCCAAGATGCTCAGAGGGTACGCGAGATCGGGACGAGTGCAAGTTATCAAGTACATGAGGCAGCCCACTAGCTCTTCGTAGGGACCACTAGGCTCTACAGCCTCCTCAGGGACTGGGGCAGAGAGTCTGTGGTCTATTGACAGAGGGATGGGCTGTGCGGAATAGAACTGAAGGCCGAACCTCTGAAGGACCTGGCGCACCAAGTGTGAATGTGTGAGAGTGCTGGTGCGCGCTGCTCTGTCCCTAGAGATCTGCAGGCCAAGGTAGCGGTGCAGCTCTCCTAGGTTAGTGCAGGTGTGTCTCCTCAGCAGCTCGGCCTTCACGGCGGCCAGTGCGTTCCGAAGAATGGTCATCTTCGGGGTAGGGGCGAAGGTCTGAAAGAAGTCCACCCTCTCACGCTGATTGAAGCCTCAAGCGACGTAGCGCGCCTTAAAGACATGCGGCTCTCCAGAAGGGCGCTTCACCTTGAAGAGCCACCGGCCATCGACTACGTTCACCCCAGGTGGGGGAACTGCGTCAACGAAGGTACCGGTGGATCTCAAAGATGCCATCTGCTACTCCATAGCAGCTATCCACTGAGAGGCCCAGGGTCCCGAGGTGGCCTCAGCGTAGGTGCGAGGGGGTCCAGATGTCGAGGGCGTCTGGGTAACCCTCAAGGACTAGTAGCATGGAACAGAGATGGGGAGCGGCCTCAGACAGGAAAGCGAGCTCGAACTGCCTGTCCTCTAGAACGTCACTGCCAAGAGCAGCCACACCCTCGACGGTCGGAGGGCACGCAGGGTTAGAGACCAGAGCGGTGGCGTAGCCCAGGCGGCGGGTAGCGGCGAAGTCAGTGACAGCAGCGACAAGAGCCGACAGACTCGAGACAGGAACGGACGGGTCAGTAACGAGAGAGGCAAGGACACGAGGAACAAGGGGACGCGCAGCATGGAGGAAGTCCGAGAACGGAGGCGGGGCCACAGCAAGCGACGACGGAGAAGGAGACGGGAGGAGAGGAGGAGCACGAGACGCGTGAGAGTGCAGCAAAATAGGGTGAGAACGCGGAACAGGGGAGGTAGGACGAGCACGAGAGGGACGACAAGACCATACGTGAGACGGAGGAGTCGGGTCAAGAGAGAGGGGAGGAGACACAGGAGGAGAACAGGGAGGGAAACGAGCCAGAGAGGAGTCCGGGGGAGGAAACACGGGGCCGTGGACTGGCAGAGGAGAAGGCGGAGGCAGCGACGGGCGGTCCAAAGAAGGGAGACCAAGGAGGCAAAGAGCGGACACCGGTGGCGACAGCTGCGACTTCTGCCCGACTCCAACATCAGAACCTCCAGCGACAACACGGCTCCCTCCGAGAAGCCCCACGCCAGCGCCCCCAGAGCCCGCTCCAGAACCAGCTCCAGCTCGCTCCCCAGCACCCCCAGAACGCACGAACCCCAACGGCGGTGACGACGGCGGCTGCGGCTGCGGTGGCAGCCGCGGAGGCGTTTGCGGCGGGGACAGCAGCGGCGGTGATAGGGGAGGCGAGACCGGGGCAGGGACAGGCAGGGGAAGAGACTTTGCCTAGCCACGAGAGTCAGCGGACTCCTCAGCAGAGACAACCGACGAGAGGGGGGTGACGTGAGACACACCAGACGGGGCAGGGCGGGGAGGGGGGTGAACAGGGTCGACCAGAGGAGGGGGGGGCACCACGAACTGGGGGGAAGTGACCGAGGGACCACGGTGGGGAAAGCGGTGGTAGAAGGAGACGGATTCGTCAAAAGTGAGATCACAAGAGTGAAAGAAACGGTGAGAAGGCGGGTGGTAGAACTGCCAGTCCGACGAGTCAAGGGGGAAACCTAAGAAGACACAGGGGACAGTGCGCACAGTGAGCTTGTCCGTGCCAGAGGCACGAACATGTGCAAGGCAGCCCCAGACGTGGAACGCGTGAGCAGCGTAGCGAACGGCAAACGGCCACAGAAAATGGGGTGCACCGGCATGGATCATGGAGGTACGAGCCACCTCCGTGACCAAACCGATGCGTCGCTCAGTGACCCCATTCTGCTGCGGGGAGTCCGGCAATGTGGACGTCTGGGTGATGCCCTCCGGACGACAGAAGCGGCCAAGGCAGCCAGACGCAAACTCGCCACCACGGTCGGAGTGAAGATGCAAGACAGGGAGACCTCGATGAACACGCGCTGAGACAAGCCACGGGAGAAGAACGCCAGGCACGTTGGCCTTCCGCTCCAGGGGAAAGACGGTGGTGTAGCAAATGTAGTCGTCGACAAGCACTAGGAAGTAGTGCTCGCGACGCGGCCCATGGACGGGGGCGGGGCCTCAGACGTCCATGTGCAGCGTCTACAGCAGTGCGGAGGTAGGGGGGAACGAGGAGGAGTGAGGGGCACGGCGGAGCCGGTCCTTGACACAGGGCGTGCACGGAGGCGCGGGTGAGGGGGGGATACCAGGGAACGACAGAGGGAGGCCTAGGACAAGACGGTGCTGGGACATGTGACGGAGACGGGTGAGGGTGGGGTGACCTAGACAGTGGTGTCACAGAAGTGACGGGTGAGTAAGCGACTGACACGAGCACGCTGCAACAACCTGGTTGAGTCGCTGAATTATGCTGCAAATCATACACAGCCTGACATTGCATTTGCTACATCACGGTTGGCTAGTGTGGTCTCACGCCCTAGTCATGAACAGCTGGAAGCGGCCAAGAGGTTGGTCCGCTATGTGAGTGCTATGGCATCAGTGGGATTGGAGTACAGTGGAGTGAGGCAGTGGTTGCAGAGAGGTGCTGCAGATGTGAAGAGTGGAGAGATGCTCTTGAGTTGCTATACTGACGCTAGCTTCAACTTAGTGAAAGCAGATGGCACAAGCATTGGGGGTTATGTGTGCTTGTTGGGAGGTGGTGCTATGAGTTGGCGCAGCAAGAAGCAGAATAAGGTGGGATTGTCCTCATGTGAGATTGAGTACATGGCCTTACGCCATGGGGTCAAGGAAGTGGTGTGGCTGAGGCGTTTGTTGGAGGAGTTGGGAGTTGGTCAGGAGGAGCCGACAGTTGTGTTTTGTGACAATGAGTCTGCTGTGAAGCTCGCCAAGAATGCTTGTCTGCATGGGCTGACAAAACACATAAGGCCTAAGTGGCATTGGGTGAGGAGACTCCTTGATAAGGAGGTGCGGCTAGAGATAGTGAAGACCCATCAGCAAGCAGCAGATATTTTCACTAAGCGTCTGGCGGAGGCAGATCATTAGAAGGGCATGAAGCTTGCTGGGATGAGTGTGCATTGAGTATGCATGCTTGAGATGTTGGTATGGTGGATGATGGTTGGCAGCCAGAGGGGGAGATTGTTTTGTGATGTCATCATATGCTATCACATTCTGTCTGCCTCACATCCCTTGTTTCAATTCGCATTTATGGTTTGACTGTGTGTGAAAGAATTTGTGTGTGGTGTGTTCTGGAGTTTGGGAATGTGTTATGTGTTATTTTTTTTGAGCATGTATTTTGCGATGATAGATCTTGAGAAGATCTTTCCGACGCAACGAGAATCGCTTCAATCGGAGCAAGAACGCGAAAGCTATGAAGATTCAAAGTTCATGAGCTTGCGTTACAATTGCGGCGGTTACAAAGTGAAGTTGTGGGGTGACTCTATATGGAGTTGGGACCATTAGGGGTTGGGGAAATTTGTCACTCTACTGTAACAGCTGTAAATTGGTTGGGAACAACCAAGCTAGGTTGGCAAGGGTGGCCGACTTGGATGGATTGGTTGGGACAAATGTCAAAGTTGGGGTTCCTAGAGGGAGGGAATCTTTGTGGTTATAGGATTTCCTTGGTTGGGGACTCTCTTGGGAACTTCCCTCTCATCCCTCTCTTCCTATCCCAGCCTTTCTCTTGCTCCTCTAATTCCTTGTGAGATTCTTGAACTTTGATTAAACTTTTGAGATTGAGTTAAGTTCTCCTCCTACAGCTTATCCCCCAGTACGTCGAAAGACATAGCTTCGCGAATACTCCATCAACCGACGTGATTCAATTTGAGAACGGTAGCTAATATTACAAGCTAGAAAATATCCAACTTTCGCGACATTCCAACGGCTAGTTTTTTCGTCGACGTCGTTTCTTGTGAAGACGACTTTTCTGTCCAGAATTTCGGATTAATATTTTGAGTAATTCTAGCTCCTAGGTTCACCTAGACTCCGTCCTTAATCCTAACAAGTGGTCTCAGAGCGACATTTAGGACATTGAGAGGAGTCTACAGAAGTGAGAAGACCCTTCTAGACCCACCATGGCCTGTGGGCGTGCCTATGTGATGTTCTAAAGGTTAGATGTGACTTCCGCTAAGGGGAAACTTTGGCGAAATTTCGTGCACGCCGACACTTGTGAAAATATCAAGGGAGCTGAGTGTGGACAGCAAAGGGGAGCTGAAATTCGTTATTTCTCAAGGAGAAGATGAATGAGTGTAGAGGAGATGCTAATGGAAGAGGAGCTGTACCTGAGAAGACAAGTGAGCCGCCGCCATCAAAAGTTGAAGCTTTGGATGGCTCCAACTATGAGGAATGGAGCGGGCGGATGAGTGCCTTCAAACGCTACAAGCTACTGAAGATTGCTGTTGGGGAGGAGAAGATGCCGGAAGAAGGCGAAGCACGTGAACGGTGGATTAAGAAAAGCGCGGTGCTTTTCGACCTCATCCTTCAATCGGTCAACAAGGAGATGTTCGAGCACATCAAGGATCTTGTGGAAGCGGATGATTCGGGTCCAAGGGCGTAGAAACTACTACGCGATGTGATACAGCCCAACACTCTCCCGATGGTGATCGTGCTCGAGAAGGAACTTGCTGCCATCTCCATGCGACCAAGGGACGATGTGAAGCCGGTCCTTGACAAGATCAAGGACACCTATGCAAGGATGGCAGCAGCGGGCAGCAGTGTATCTCAGCTGCAGCAGTGCACCAAGATCATCTCGGTGTTGGACAACTCTTGGGACAACCTCATCCCCACCCTCAACTCTCAGCAAGATCAATGGACACCTGAGTGGCTAAGGCAGCAGATTCGGTAGGAGGACTTCCGCAGACGCCATGTGGGAGGTGGTGCCTCCACTAAGACTGCTGAGGGGTATGGAGCTGCAGGGCGCGGCAGAGGAAGAGGGGGTTGGAGAGGCCGAGGCCGTGAGAGGAGCTTTGGCAGAGGTAGAGGCCGAGGTGACTATAATGAGGGGCATAGGAGCTCTAGTGGCAGGGGGAGTACCAGAATGGAGGGCACCTGCTGGTACTGCAAGAAGGTCAGGCATCCTTGGTTCAAGTGCTTCAGCAGGCCGGAGGGATGGGCACCTCCAAGCATGAAGCCGCCAAGTGGTGAACGGGCACAAGGTGGCGCTGTGCAAGGCTCAGGTGTACAAGGTGAAGGTGCACAAGGTAATACCTATCCTGGGATGTTTCTCATGGTTGAGGATGTGCATGGGCATGAGGGTGATGTGGGATCTGTGGGAAAGGTTGTGATGCACCCTCTCACACACTGGGTGATTGATTCAGGTTGCACCAGTCACATGACCCCACGGGCAGATTTGCTTGATGAGGTAAAACCCCCAGGGAAGATTATGTATGTGGCAGCAGCGTCAGGTGCTTTGCTCCCTGTGATTGGTGTTGGGAATGCCAAGGTTAAGGGAGCTAATGGGGAGCTTGTGGGGCTTGGGAATGTTCTACTGGTTGAAGGTTTGTCTGCTAACCTTCTCTCTGTGCGACGACTGCAGAAGAGCAAGGCCGAAGTGACCTTTGGACCAACCAGCTGCCGTGCTAAGCTTGGGAAGAAGGTGCTGTGGAGTCTGGAAGAGGAGACCAGCTGCATCAAGGATCTGTGGCAGCTGCCCATCATCCCTTGGAATGGGAAGACTCCAACAGCAGCAACGGCAATAGCGGCAAAGGCAACTGCAGGAGGAGATGCAACTGCACCAACTGATGGGGTCCTGGAAGCAATCAAGAAAGTGCAACAGCAGCAGACACATGGTGAGGTACTTGCTGGTGTGGATGCGAGTGCGGCATGGGCTAAGGCTTCATCAAGTAGTGGTGAGGCCGATTGGGAGACATGGCATGAGAGGCTGTGTCATGTGAACTTCCCTATGCTGCAGAAGTTGGTGAAGGATGGGAGCCTGAAGGGCTTGCAGGTGAAAGGGGGAGTGAAGGAGATTGGGAGCTGCCCTACATGCTTGGAGACCAAGTTCTCCAAGTTCCCCTTCAACAGCACTACAGGACCAGCCAAGACCCCACTTGCACTTGTGCACATGGATGTGGTGGGGCCCACAAGAGCCCCTTCCCTCTCAGGCAGCCGCTATTTCTTGACAATTGTGGATGACCACACTCGGGCAGTGTGGGTTTACCCTTTGAAGAGCAAGGGGGAGGTGGCAGCGGCTTTCCTTAAGGAGTGGATGCCTAGAGCCCAGAGGGAATGCGGACACAAGGTGAAGGTGATCCGCAGTGACAATGGTGGGGAGTTCATTGGAGCTGATTTTGAGGGGGAGTTGAAGAGGAAAGGGATCCAACATCAACTGACAGTGCCCTACAACCCGCAGCAGAATGGCGTGGCTGAGAGGTTCAACAGGACCCTGCAGGAAGGGGCACGCACTCTCCTTGGGCGTGCAGGGCTGCTTGATCCATTTTGGGTGTCTGCACTCAGGCAGGTCGCCCTTGTGAAGAACAGGGTGCTGGCTACAGTTGGGGATAAGGAGTGGATCCCATATACCAAGTGGTATGGGAGTGCTCCAGCTGTGAACATGCTGAGGGCATTTGGGTGCATGGTGGTGTTTCATGTGCCCAAGGAGAAAAGGGGGAAGTTGGAGGCTTCTGGAAGATGGGGTGTGCACTTGGGGATTACAAAGGATCACAAGGGGTGGCTGCTATGGGACTTGACCACCCAGAAGCTGACTGTATCACGGGATGTAAAGTTCCTTGAATCCCTGTACTACAAGGAATGGAAACAGCAGCAGCAAAAACTTCCATCTACACCTCTTGTTGTCGAGGCAGATGAGGTGCAGCGGCCTTCAAGACAGGTGGAGGTTGCAGTGTCTGAGGAGGAGATGTCTGGGGTGACTGAGGAAGGGGGAGCAGCTGAAGTGGAGCAGCAGCAGCAGCAGCATGAGTCTCCACCTCGAGTTTCACACCCGCCTGAGCGACCTAGGAGGGTTGTGCGCCCTCCGGTGAGGCTGACCTATGGGGGAAGAGGCAAGCCGAATGTGGTGCAGGCTGGGAGTGTGGTTGAGCAGATTGAGGAAGATGAGATCGCTCACTGCTATTGGGCACCAATCCCTGAGCCCAAGACTCGAGAGGAGGCCTTGAATGGACCAAATGGGGAGAAGTGGAAGGCGAGTGAGGATGAGGAGTTCGGGTCCCTGATTGAGAACGAAACATGGGACTTGTGTGACTTGCCTCCTGGGAAGAAGGCAATCACTTCCAAGATGATCTACAGGCACAAGTATGGACCTGAAGGGGAGCTGACCAGCAAAAAGTCTAGGCTTGTGGCACGGGGGTTTCAGCAGACAAAGGGGAAGGACTATGATGAGGTGTTTGCTCCTGTGGGGAAAGGAACAACACTAAGGGTGCTGTTGGCGATAGCTGCACTCCTCGGATGGAAGATTCGGCAGATGGACATTGTGACTGCCTTTCTGAATGGGATTATTCTGGAGGAGGTGTACATGAAGCAGCCAGAGGGGCTGGATGATGGGAGCGGCAGGGTCTGCAGGCTGAAGAAGGCCATCTATGGCCTTAAGCAGGCGCCTCGTGCATGGTATCAGAAGTTGGAGGAGGCGCTGCTGGCTGGGGGTTTCAAGAAGAGTGAGTGTGACCCCAGTCTATTCCTGCTACAAGGATGAAATCCTCATGCTCTTGGTGTATGTGGATGATATCCTTCTCTTTTCTGCATCAACTGCTTTGCTGGACAGCGCAGAGCAGATGCTGGAGATGCAGTTCAAGTGCTCCAAGATGGGTGAGGTGAAGTACTACTTGGGGATGCATGTGGAGAGAGATGTGGAGAAGGGTGTGCTGAGGTTGCACCAGAGGAAGTACTGTGAGGGGCTGGCTGAGAAGTATGGACTGCAAGATGGGGGAAAGCCAGCAACACCACTACCTTCGGGGTTTACTGTGGAGCCATGTGCTGATGAGGAGGTAGTGGGTGAGAGTGACAGGAAGCTGTTTCATTCGATGGTTGGGTCGCTGAATTATGCTGCAAATCATACCCGGCCTGACATTGCATTTGCTACATCACGGTTGGCTAGTGTGGTCTCACGCCCTAGTCATGAACAGCTGGAAGCGGCCAAGAGGTTGGTCCGCTATGTGAGTGTTATGGCATCAGTGGGATTGGAGTACAGTGGAGTGAGGCAGCGGTTGCAGAGAGGTGCTGCAGATGTGAAGAGTGGAGAGATGCTCTTGAGTTGCTATACTGACGCTAGCTTCAACTCAGTGAAAGCAGATGGCACCAGCATTGGGGGTTATGTGTGCTTGTTGGGAGGTGGTGCTGTGAGTTGGCGCAGCAAGAAGCAGAATAAGGTGGGATTGTCCTCATGTGAGATTGAGTACATGGCCTTACACCATGGGGTCAAGGAAGTGGTGTGGCTGAGGCGTTTGTTGGAGGAGTTGGGAGTTGGTAAGGAGGAGCCGACAGTTGTGTTTTGTGACAATGAGTCTGCTGTGAAGCTCGCCAAGAATGCTTGTCTGCATGGGATGACAAAACACATAAGGCCTAAGTGGCATTGGGTGAGGAGACTCCTTGATAAGGAGGTGCGGCTAGAGATAGTGAAGACCCATCAGCAAGCAGCAGATATTTTCACTAAGCGTCTGGCGGGGGCGGATCATTGGAAGGGCATGAAGCTTGCTAGGATGAGTGTGCATTGAGTATGCATGCTTGAGATGTTGGTATGGTGGATGATGGTTGGCAGCCAGAGGGGGAGATTGTTGTGTGATGTCATCATATGCTATCACATTCTGTCTGCCTCACATCCCTTGTTTCAATTCGCATTTATGGTTTGACTGTGTGTGAAAGAATTTGTGTGTGGTGTGTTCTGGAGTTTGGCAATGTGTTCTGTGTTATTTTTTTTGAGCAGGTATTTTGTGATGATAGATCTTGAGAAGATCTTCCCGACGCAACAAGAATCGCTTCAATCGGAGCAAGAACGCGAAAGCTATGAAGATTCAAAGTTCATGAGCTTGCGTTACAATTGCGGCGGTTACAAAGTGAAGTTGTGGGGTGACTCTATATGGAGTTGGGACCATTAGGGGTTGGGGAAATTTGTCACTCTACTGTAACAGCTGTAAATTGGTTGGGAACAACCAAGCTAGGTTGGCAAGGGTGGCCGACTTGGATGGATTGGTTGGGAAGGGACAAATGTCAAAGTTGGGGTTCCTATAGGGAGGGAATCTTTGTGGTTATAGGGTTTCCTTGGTTGGGGACTCTCTTGGGACCTTCCCTCTCATCCCTCTCTTCCTATCCCAGCCTTTCTCTTGCTCCTCTAATTCCTTGTGAGATTCTTGAACTTTGATTAAACTTTTGAGATTAAACTTTCAGGGCCGCTAGGGGACGGGACCGCAGGGCGGCTAGGGGACGGGGCCGCTGGGCGACGAGGCGGCTAGGACCTAGGGTGGGAGCGCTTGGGGGGGGGGGGGGGAGGGGGGGGGGGGGGGGACTACCTACTCATGATACCATGTTCAAGAGAAAGAATGTCTAGAACAAGGCATACAAGGGAATATAACCTAATGGGTTGTACTCCCTAAGGCACAACCCTATATAGTCTACAGAAACATACAATATATGTTTGAGAGCCGGCCCCTAGCTCGCCGGCCCCGTGCTCGCCGGCCCCGCGCTCGCCAGCCCTGCGCTCGCTGGCCCCACGCTTGCCGGCCCCTAGCTCACCGGCCCCGCACTTGTCGGCCCTTCGCTCACCAGCCACGTGCTCGTTGGCCTTTCGCTCGCTAGCCCTGCGCTCGCCGACCCTGCGCTCGCCGACCCCTAGCTTGTCGGCCTCTCGCTAGCCTGCCCCTAGCTCGCTGGCCTCATGCTCGCCGGCCCCTATCTCGCCGGCCCCTAGCTCGCCGGCCCCTCGCTTCCTGGCCCCTTCCTCGCCGGCCCCTCACTAGCCGGCTCCTCGCTCGCTGACCCCTCGCTAGCCGGCCCCTCACTCGCTGGCCCCTAGCTCCCCGACCCCTCGATCGCCGGCCCCTTAGGTTGCCGGCCCCTCGCTCGCCGGCCCCAGTTCGAGCTGACCCTGGTCCCGCCGTGTCGCCATGCCGCAGGACCGCCGTGTCGCCGTGCTGACGTGCCGCAGTGCCGCCGTGCCGCTGGGTCACCGTGCCACCATGTCACCGTCAGCCGCTGCGCCCATGGTGGTGGTGGAGGCTGTGCTCCGCCTAGATGTGGAAGGTCGGGCGATTGACTTTGAGGCATGGCTCGTCGACCTTTGCCGTCAGCTGACGGGTCAGTGCCAGGACGGCTACTCCTTAGCCGTTCATGTCAACGTTAAGCTCCCCCACCTTGATGCGCCTCCTCACCTCTCTAACACCCCTACCACTGTTGAGCGTGAGGCCTTTGCCGCTGCGGAGATTGAGCGTGCTGTCTGGGAGTCGTGTGATGCCGTAGCGCAGCTTGATGTCAGTCAAGCCCTCCCCCTATCTGAGTGCCCCTGCTTCACGGCTGTAGCGAATGCGAAGGACTACTTAGATGTGGTCATTGTGCACTATTCCACTCCTTCCTCCGCCTCTGCCGGCCGTCTGATCCTGCCCATGCTATTCCCTGATCTTGCGTCCTTCCCCACTGTCGCTGAACTTGCCACTCATTTCCGCACCCTAGAGACTAGCTACCGCGCTGCAAGTACTGAGGCCCAGCTCGTTGCATTCCCTCCTCCCCTTTGTGCTACCCTTTACCTTATTGACACGCGCCTTCTTGACCGCCTCGCCACAGCTCGCGACCACTTCCTCAGTCAGCACCCAGGTGACCTCACCCTTACTGCCTTTGTCACCACCCTGTCTACGATAGAGACTTGCCAGCGTACTATCGCTCAGTCTAGCGGTTCTGTGCCAGTCCCTATCTTCCATGGTTGTGCTCCATCCCAGTGCACTTACTCTGACGTTTATGCCACTTTTGCTGAGACAGCCCTTGCTGCTGAGACCGCCACAGCGGCAGCCTCAGCGCAGCCTCATCAGGGTAAGGGCCGCCACCCCAAGGGGGGGCGTGGCAAAGGGAGGGGTGGTGGGGGTGGCGATGGTAGTGGGGATAGTGCGAGTGCTGGCAGTACCGACGAGGGGACCAGGGCTGATCCCCCGGAGTAGTAGCAGCAGCAGCCGGAGCAGCAGCAGCAGACGCAGCAGCAGCTGTGGGGCCGCCTCCCGCCGGGGTGGTCCGGCGCCTGTAGTGGTGGTGGCCGCGGTGGCGGCCCTCGCAGCTTGGCGTCAGGTGGCGGCTTCAGCAGTGTGGGTTGCCAGTACCAGCTTCTGACTAGCCCTTTTTGTGGCACTGTGTGTGGCCGTCCCAGTCACACCGCCGCCCACTGCTTCTGCCGCCTCAACGACCTCTTCCGTCCCTGCTTCGGCCCTTCGCCGCACCTTCTTGACTGGCCCTGTCTCGGGCGTCGTCGTGTGCCTGTGTTTGAGATGGATATGGATCAGATTTGCTCTGCTTTGCATACCATGTATGCTGATGACTCTTGTTTGACCAGATCTTATTACCCTGTGTTGCCTAGTGTAGGTGTGCCTCCTGTGTGTATTCTAGGATCCCCTGCTACGTCAGACGTAGGACCTTCTGCTTTGTTTAGCCTAGGCTTCATGCTAACCCCTCTGCCCGCTGAAGCCACGTCCTGCTGCCATGGCGGCCTCGACGTGTGGCAGCCTCGTCGAGCTACCATGACGGCCTCGACGCGCTGCCGTGGCGGCCCTGTCGTGCTGTCGTGGTGACTTCGATGCGCCAGCGCACGGACGGCTGCGGCCATCGTGCTGGTTTAGCGCCAGCCACTACGCCCGCACGCCAGCTAGCTCGCCAGCCAGGGTGGCTCGCTAATCGGCAACGCCATCGAAGACCCGTCCCTGTCATTACAGCGCGTGCCATGCCACATGGTGCCTCGGGCGCCGCCGCCATCGCCGGGTGCCTCGACGCCACCGCCGCCGCCGCAGGTGCTGCTGGATTTGCCGCCACCTGCCGCCGGAGTCGCCGCCGCTACTATCGGCGTTTCCACTGCGACCCGCCGCTGACGTCGCCACTTTGCTTGCCAAGGGGTCGACCCACTGCAGACTCCCTAAGCTGCTGTTGAGTATGGGGGTGTTGGGCTTGTGGTGTGCTCCTACTTTTGTTTCTTGCTACTCTAACAATTGGACAGACTAGCAGTACTGCCCTGGTCTCTTGTCTCTATGAGTAGCACCTACCAAGCCTAGGGGGTGTGTCAACACATATATATTTTAAATGTATATGTGTGTAGCTAGGTAGGTGCACTACAATTACTGGATCCTAATGTAGAGAGGACAACCCACTTCGTGTACCTCTCTCTCTCTTCTAGTTGATCACCTTTTCTCTCGCTATCTTCCTACCTAGCTTAAACCTCGCTTGCAATATGGTATAAGAGCTAGGTTAGGACTGCCCACCTGTGCTTCCTCCCTAGCCAACCTAGCCCGCCCCAGCTGCCCTAGCCCGCTCTAGCCGCCCTAGCCCGCTTTAGCCGTTGTAGCTCGCTGGCCCCGCGCTCGCTGGCCCCGCATTTGCCGGCCCTTCGCTCGCTGGCCCCGCGCTCGCCAGCCACGTGCTCGCCGGCCCCGCGCTTGCTGGCCCCGCGCTCGCCAGCCCCATGCTCGCCAGACCTGCGCCTGCCGCCCCCCCCCCCCCCGCTAGCTGGCCCCGCGCTTGCTCACCCCGCACTCGACAGCCCTGCGCTCGCTGGCCCTTTGCTCGCCGGCCACGCGCTCGCAAGCCCCGTGCTCGCTGGCCCTTTGCTTGCCAGCTCAGTGCTCGCCGCCCCCGCGCTTGCCAGCCCCATGCCTGTCGGCCCCTCATTCGCCGTCCCCTAGCTCACCGACCCCTAGCTCATTGGCCCCTAGCTCGCCGGCCCCGTGCTAGCCGTCCACATTCTCGCCGACCCCTAGCTCGACGTCCCCTCCCTTGTCGGCCCCTAGAGCGCCGAACCCCTGCTCGCCAGCCCTAGTTCGCCGGCTCTCAGCTCCGCCGGCCCCAGCCCGCGCCGGCCCTAGCTCCCACCGTGCCTTTGAGCCGCTGAGCCGCCGCACCGCCGAGCAGTAGTGCCGCCATGTCGCCGTGTCGCTGAGCCACCGAGCCGCCCTGCTGCCCAGCCTGCCGGCCTTGGCTCCCCTCTGAGTCGGCGCCCCCGCCGGCAGTCTCCATTGCTCTCCACCGCACTTTACTTCTCTCCACCGCTCTCCATCACTCTCCACCACTCCCCACTGCTCTCCTCTGCCTCCAGCAGCTGTCCGCTGCTACAACTGTGGTGATGGCAGACGCTCTGCTTTGCCTAGACGCGGAGGGTCGGGCGGTTGATTTTGAGGCGTGGCTCGTCGACCTTCGCCAGCAGCTGACGGATCAGCGCCAGGACAGCTACTCCCTGGCCGTCCATGTCAACGGTAAGCTCCCATGCCCCGCCACGCCTCCTGCCCTCCCTGACATCCCCATGTCTCCTCGGCGTGAGGCCTTTACCGCTATTGAGCTTGCCCGCGCTGTCGGGGAGTTGCGCCACGTAGTAGCACTTCTTGCTATTAGCCACGCCCTCCCCCTATCTGAGCGTCCCCGCTTTACGGCTATAGCGAATGCGAAAGAGCACATAGATGCGGTCATTGCGTGCTATTCCACTCCCTCCTCCACCTCTGCGAGCCGTCTCATCCTCCCCATGCTGTTCCCTGATCTTGCGTCCTTCCCTACAGTCGCTGACCAAGCCACTCACCTACGCGCACTTGAGACTAGCTATCGTGCTGCTAGCACTAAAGCCCAATTTGC